TTAAAAAAATTTAAAAAAATATCAAGTGACGTCAAATGTTCACTTTGTCTGGTTTTGTTGCAGCACGCCCCATATAAGCCAATAAAGTCTATTGGAATCATTTCAGTCGGAATTATTTGGCCATTGACTATTACACGATTTGAATTGACAATATTATAATGATACAATAACCGCCTTACACAGAAATTTTAAAATCATATAAGATTAGTTTTACATATTAATTTATATTATGATCGTCTGACAGCTTGCTTCTAGGAAGAAGTACTAAGACATAGCGATAACCACTAACAGATGAGGCATCGCGATATTTTCTATGAGGCTTATAAAATCAATGATTTTTTTGAGGAACACGTCGAAAAGTCAGCCAACCAGAACCCAAATATGTATACGTCATTAATGCATAGGGAGAGTTCCATTGAAATATAGTTTTGAAAATAGTAATTACTTATTACTTCGATTTTGACAGTTCCAGTATTCTACCATATATGCAATAACATGTTTGAGACAACGGCAAATATGGTGCTGAGAAATCGAGTTTTTGAGGACTTGTTCCACACAATCAATTATATGTAACTGCCAAGAGTTGTTGGTTATCTGGATTTCCAAAGCATTTATCTCTTATATTTTCAAAAACAGCTATACTATTCCTTACCTTTCTCTGGCAGAAAACGGTTAATGACTATTTCTTTGATAGCGTACATTTTAACACATTCAGGTGAATGTGTGGGTAGAACGTCATTTGAATCAGGAATTATGACATGACAAAGCACTATGGTCTTGTAATAAGAACATGGTTATTTTGTTGGGCTCAAATACAGTAAGTAACAATATTTGTTGAAACTGACCTTTCTAACCGAACCACATACTCTGCTCAAACTCATTATAGACTGCCACAACTTTAATGGGGCCTCCGAATTTGATGATTTCGTTCCAGGCGCGTCATGAACTGGTACAATCACAACGGCATATCTGGGTGAATTAACGTCAGTTCAGTATATTAAATCTACTAATTTTTTACTTGATCGAGCTTCCACTTACTGTGAATGATTAAACGGCGGCCCTTTTTCATATAGCACTAGCAGAAAAGAAGATCAGAAGAGTTTCTCATGTACGATGGAACGTCTCTGTGGTAATATTGCTTACGATAATCGACACCATATTTTGTTCCGTCTTTTACTACCCATCCGAGACTACGAAAATAATGATAAACCGTGTAATAAATTATAAAGGAATTGTTCCAGTCGATATCCAAATTCGATTGTTGTTCTGTAGTGTCAGTGGGAGGTTCGTGGCCTGCAAGGCAGAATTCCGTCCAGCATTCTTCTATACTAAGCTGCCTCTACAGATATACCATCACATTTAATACAATTTTTGGCTACAGTTGATTGATACTCGACTAAATTACAAAACCTTATTGACGTCGCATATATCTAAAATTCCAAGACCATATAGCAAAAACATTGCTTCTTCCAGATGTAACTGAAGACGCTCCATTGTTGATGGATCTACGATTTCGACTGCTGAACCGACATCTTTAACAGTAGTCGAACAAACAGTTGACGTTTCTTCGTCTGCAGATATGCCGGACAATTTACCATCAGTCTTGACTAACTGACCTCCGACGACATTGCGGGATGAAACTCAATATTATACAAGGCTTTTGTCAGAATTCGTTTTGAGAATAGACCCCCAAATCAAGTGTAACCATTTTGTCTCTTATTACCTCTCTTACTTTTGTCGTAATTGCAAGCCCAAAGTGGTTCGCTCCGCGAGAGAGTGCCCTTACCAAAAAATCCTTGTCGCCAAAGAATGTCGATATCTTCCTGCTTGGATACCCAAACAGATCTTGATGCACGATCGAAGATTCCATAAGACTTGCCCGACCAAAAAAAGCTTGTCAGATATCTGAAAGCAGCCGTAATGCCATGGTCAATATAAACTGGGAGTGGAATTGCTTTCTGCTTTTGTTGCTGCAACTTTTTATTTTTCCGGTTGGTAGAACGTCTCGCAAAGCCTTCACTCATAATTACCGAACACTTGGATCACCAAAACATTGTTAAAAAATCACAATAATAATAGTGTAACATGACTAAGTCTCGCCTAAACAGGCTTTAGCGAGCACCTCGTTGTGAATAAAAGTTCCTCGTGATAGTTTGTGATGAGAGTTATTTTCGCAAACCCAAGATCACTTGTATTATGTATAGTGTTTATCTTAAAATTAGTGTATACGTTCCGTATTCATCGACTCGATCATACACGTGAAAGTTTCAACTAAAGATGTTTAACGCGTTATGTTAACTATTACGCACCCACAGGAACGTTTGTTGTCTTTGTAGAGATTATCGTACCTGAACTTCACACTCAAGAAATGGTAGCGATGCATTGGTTTTGAGTCAAGCAAAACTTGTTGGATTCTCATAAAGGCTAGGTGGATCCGAGGTGCTTTGTTGTCCCCAATGCAAAACGATTCCTTGGTAGAGATTAATGGTGGCTTGCAAACGTTCTTCTTCGATATCATACAAGGGAGTCGACTTGGGCTGACTCGCGATAGCCTACTCCCTTACAGGATTTGTTTAACGAAGAGCTTTGTTAGTATTGGTAATGTTAGGTTTTAATGTAGACGTGTATATGACTAAGGTTAAGTAAGACGAAAGTCATTATTATTATTAAAAAACTACGATAAATATATACTACGTACGTCTAACTACATTTATAAAGGTTGACAATTTATTTATAATGATTTGACTTAACACGCGTTTTACCAAACCGATGGCACAATAAATTCGCGACATTATTATGTGTGATTTGCGCAATCGATAATTTTTGGGGGTGTACGATAGCTTAGCCAGATAGTGTAAAACTTGTATACAAGTCGTATCTAAATAATTTAATAATCTATTACATGAAACCAATAATTAAGTACAAAAATGCAAATTGACATTAATATTGCAATCGCGTATATCGCAAAGTGTCCGGTCTAATAAGTATTCTACTGTATACAACAATCCTTATCTTTCTTCTCTTTTTTATTGTTCAATTTCTGATTCTTTAATTTTTCCTCATGCTCACGTCGAGTAATAGTCCCGCCACGTCCAAGACGACTTTTAGCATCTACATTTCCATGAGCAGCAGCCTATTAAAAAAAATGGATTTGATCAGATAAAAGCTATTAGGACATAACAAATGATCATGAGTAGCATCATGGGCCTACCTTTGTATACCAGGCATTAGCTTTTTGCAAATCCGCCTGTACAAAAACTCCAACTTCATGGAAATATCCCATCGCAAATTCTGCAGCAGGTAATCCTTTTGAGGCTGCTTTCTCAGCATGCTGGTATGCTAATGCTTCATTCTGTTCGAAATATCCTTCAGCACCACAGAGATACCATTTAGATAGCGCCATATTGGCCTCGACCTCCCCTTTTTCGGCAGCGCGCTCATAATATTGCACAGACATTGTTGGATCATATGGACATCCCAAAGCACCATATTCATGGCATACCCCCATTTTATATAAGGCAGGAGGATAACCCAAATGTGCTGCACGCTGGATGTATTCTCTAGCTGCATCGTGGTCAGGTGTTACCAAATCATCTGGTACCTTTACTGTTTTCCATTCTTTGGCTAACATCATACCATATATGTATGCGCCCTCAGGACAGTCCTCATTAGCCTTTGCCGCTGCTTGTTTGAGATATATTAACGCCTGTTTATAATCCACCTCTTGCCTTAGACTGCCAGTCATAAAGACAAGTGTCATTCTCTATAGAACGTAAACAATAAGTAATTAAAAAGGAGAAAATTATATCCATGCTCGCGATCAAATATAGGAGAGATGATAATGTAAGACGTACTGTTAATGCATTAGGATCTCCCAAGGATGCCGCTTTCTTGTAAAATTGACATGCTCTTGGATAATCCTTCTTTTTTTCGTAGTTCTCGGCTAATTTGTAATTCGCCTTCGCATGATCTTGTATGGACGCACTTCTATAGCATCTTAATGCTTTGTCATGGTTTTGTTCTTTTTTGAATATTCCCTTTTCGTACCATGTACCTTTAATATACAAAGCCTCACCATAGTTTATCTTAGCGAGTTTGTCTATCCAATAAACGGCTTCATCTACCAATTTGTCATACGTCGCTGACCGATTGACATTTAAGTGATTGCTATTGTTGTGACCATTCGGCTGATAAGATTCGGACATTTCTATCAGGAATTTAGCATAATCAGCCTGTACTTTTGGATCATTTGTCTTACGCGCAGCGTCTCGATAACGTTCTAACGCGGCTTCATCACTGGCCAGCGTGAACGATATTTTTGTCATTCGACGCGCATTCTTCTCATCAATAGCTAATCTGAGACCGGGAACGTATGATGCACGAGAATTTGTCGAAAACATCGACATTCGACTATTGGGCTCAGGTGATGATCGTGGTGAATGCCAACTTAAACGATTGCCGCCGGCCAAGGCGGGGGGAAGAGGCGTTCCATCTGGACCAACCGGAACGCCATCAGGGCCAAACCCTACTGCGGCAGAGGGGGACGACGACCGGCTATATCCGGGAGAATAAGAGCGGGGACGCTGAGGTTGTAAATGCCCATTGTTGGGACTACTTGATAATGATCTTGATCCGCTTGAAAGCAAATTATTTGGCTTACTAAATTCGTTGTTTATCGGGAGACCGAGACTGTTACCGTTATATCCAGGGTTAGGAGGACCGGACCAAGGTTGAATTTGAGAAGATTGAGTGGATAATCCGTTATTGTTGAGCAGATATTGATTATCGTATGGTGAAGTTACAGTGATCTGAGCTTTTTGTGCAGCGTCCTGTGAATTAGACTGAGAATACTGAGGTTGCCCAACTTGTATGTTTCCCAATTTTAAGTAGGGATCATTTAAATTTTCTTGTTGTATTGCTACAAAATCTATTTGCTGTTGATTAACCTGCTGTGGAAGGTGGTGTTGTTGTTGCAACTGCTGCTGCTGCTGCTGCTGCTGCTGCTGTTGTTGTTGTTGCAGTTGTTGTTGTTGCAGTTGTTGCTGTAGTAGTTGTTGTTGTTGCAGTTGTTGCTGCTGCTGCTGCTGCTGTTGTTGTTGTTGTTGTTGCAGTTGTTGCTGTTGCTGCTGCTGCTGCTGCTGTTGTTGTTGTTGTAGTTGCTGCTGCTGCTGCTGTTGTTGTTGTTGTTGTTGTAGTTGCTGCTGCTGCTGCTGCTGCTGCTGCTGCTGCTGTTGTTGTTGTTGTTGTTGTTGTTGTTGTTGTAGTTGCTGCTGCTGCTGCTGCCGTTGTTGTTGTTGTTGTTGTAGTTGCTGCTGCTGCTGCTGCTGTTGTTGTTGTTGTTGTTGATATTGTGCGATATGCCCATCTATGCGAGGCAAATCACTCGGTTTGGGTCGCGTAGGTTGTGCATTAGCCGTAACAACTACCTCTTCAGTATGACCCAAAGGACTCGACGATCTTGGCACATGAGACTCGACTTCCTGGTACTGGTATTGCTGAGATGCAATAGAAGTATTAGCATTGTCCAAATAACCTTCATTTATAGATCGATCCAATGTATCTTGTACAGTCGGCACCGGTCTATGCGGTTTAGGAGCGATAAGTGGTGGAAAGGGTGGTATAGCATTATTGCTTGCATCATTTGATTGATAGGTATTATTATCGGTGTTGGTCGACGTGTGGCCGCTGCTGTCTGATCTCGTATGAATTTGCGTCTGCGATGTATTTGGGATAGTAGGCAAAGGTCTGGGACCCATTACCGTTTTTTTTTTTTTTAAACTAGTTCCGGGATTTTGGGCTACACTTGCGGGTTGTTCACTCATACTGAAAGATCAAAGGGAAATGGACGAGTCCCAATTTTGAATTCCGATTTGTCTACATTTTATATCATAATATTCTTTGTGAAACTATCAATTAGTAAATTTCAAGCCGAAAAAGTGATTTATAATCTTTTTGTCTATAAGAAGAAAGAGTTACTACAACAGCCTATAATTGTAAACCGGTATGATTATATTCATTGCGTATGATCATACAACGGAACCATTGCAATAGAAACGTGCGAACAGCTACCGCAGGAGTTCATCTCAAAGGGTAATACAAATACCATTCACAAATCATAGGAGTTTCAGTGATTCCCAAAGTTTAGACTGTTTGTAATTAAGATCCCGCTCGCATGCAAATAACCGAGTTACACGCGTATGGAATAATACTTTGACGCAACAACTAAATTCCAAATCGGGCATTCAAGACCATAATGCGACTCAATTAATTGGTCACTATTAATAAGGTCAACCATATTAATATTAATATACCTTTAAACTATTGATGTCATTACGATTCAGATCTCCAATGCTTGAATATCGTCATTTTCGCGCTGACATCAATTTGTATTAGCCTGGATTCTCTTGAGGCTTGTGCGCTTCTGTCTTGCCGTTTACGGATGCCCAGCCAATGTTATTTATAGTCATATTTTAGTCTACTCATGTGCCATCGGGCTTGGCGGTTTTTAATTGCCCAAATTATCCGCAGCATCTAGCGCTAGTACTTTTCTTTATTATTTATTATGACGACAACTAACCTATCTGGAAAAGTGGTTCTGATGTAAGTCAATGAAATGATAGGAATTGGCATTAACTGAAATATCAAACCGGTTAATCTACAACTGTCCTGCAGAACTGGAGCGTCGGCTGGTATTGGAGCTGCGACTGCCCTTGAATTTGCTAAACATGGATCGAATCTCATATCCTTTATTCTATTCCAAACTAAAACCTGGACTACTTGTAGAGTCTGATGTTTAGCCTTGACATTTATAATACATTCTATTTGCAAGACGAGATGATCGTCTGAATGAGGTCGCTCAACGCATTTTAAACCTGAATCCGGCAGCAAAAGTCTGTGTACGTGCAGTAGACGTTCAGAACAAGAAGGAAATCTACAGCGCAATTAATGAACTGCCCGACGAGTTTAAAGATATTGATATTCTGGTTAACAATGTTGGTATTTTGAGGTTAATTAGCCACCCTCCTTTTATTGACTAATGCTAACGTCATTGCGTTTTCTGAACAGGCAGGATTGGCTATTGGATTTGACCCACTGGAAAAGAACTCTGAAAATGCTGTCCAACAAGTTATCGGTACCAACGTTAACGGTTACATTTACACAATACAGGCTGTATTGCCCCGGATGAAAGAGCGTAACTCGGGAGATATAATAAATATTGGGAGTATATCAGGTAATTATTATAGGCATTCTGTAACGGGAAACTTTTCTTTGACGTATCAATCATTTTGTAGGCGTTCAGACACATCAATACGGAACTGCTTTGTACGCTGCATCGAAACATGCTGTCGAAGGCCTTACAGCGTAAGGAAACTTTCATATCAATTAAGGGTTATGATAATCAAGATGTGTGCGCTTATCAACGTTTCATCCATGATAATAAACCAGATCCATTCGTAAAGAACTTGTTGCTACTAAGATACGCGCAATTTTAATCAGACCAGGTACAGAAACTTGGTGCATATTTTGCATTTGTATCGCATAGTATTTCATATATAGAATCGTACATATCGACAGGTGCGGTTCGTACCGATTTTACCTTAAAAAGAGTGCCCGAACGAGGACCAGAATTCTTGGATACATATTACGCCGGATACGAACCCCTCGTTGCTCAGAATATTGGTATTATATCTGTTATGGCACGAGATAATTGCTTGCGTCATCTTTATATGATGTTCTATATTAACATGTACAAATCTGTCCATTCATTACATAGCTGATTGTATTATATATGCAGCCTCGAGACCAACAAACGTCGTCATCTCTGAACTGACAGTCCTGCCCAATGCACAAGCGGATATCACCTTAGTCCACCGAGAGGGTGCAAAAGGTCCAGTCTAAAAGGCTCATGATGAACTGGGACTATGAAGATCGAAGAGAAATGTCAAAAACTTTTGATTTGCGTACGACTGTTTTTAACGAATCGATTTACTAATTATGCAAATTAGTAATAACTTTGTAACTATTGAAATTTATGATTTCTGTTTCTTGATAGAAACCTGTTCAAATCGGGTTTGGCGACTGTGGCAGGTAATGAATCATACTCCTTGTTTCAGACATAATAAAAGATATAAAGAGGACGAGCATCCATGTTCAACGTTATTCGTCGCCAATATGTAGTATTATGATGCAGATATCCTTTTCTTTGTCAAGAAATAAATTGTATCACAAACTCAAGATTATCGGGAAAGTGTAGTAACGGATGAAACCAATCATTGGTTTATAAAAAATACGAAATTGCTAACCACTCTAAATAAAGCAACTGTGTCTTCATTGTGTCTAATAATTCTCGCGTCCATTCCTGTCAACATAGCTGCTTTCCATTAACGTAAAACTAACAATACAGATGCCATGTCGATGAATCTTGGCAAGCCTTATACCGCCACGTGGGAGAGCATACGTGAAGAAAACGGATAACAATTGTGCTTTCCTTATGACAGTCATCAATTAAACTCAAGACTGAAACCTCATCAGGACGTAGCTGATTGTATAGCAAACCCTGGATACGATAAATTTGGCTTGTATCAAAATATTTCGCTGTACAAAAAAAAATACGCCACCACGCCGCAAAGTCCACACCTATCACGCCTAAACATATCTGCCTGGAATGCGCCCAGCTCATCATCTTTCGAACTGTTTTATTATATTATTAATTTTTCTTCTTGTCTATGAGACATCGGTAACACAATTATGTCAAAAGTCTTGGTCAATCACAATACAGTTTTTTTATATACTTCATCCACTAAATTTTGAATACGCCTTCTCATGCGCGCGCTTCATAGAGTTACGCTTTTTTGCTAATGCTCTGGTGGTGCGTAGATAAAGGCATCAAGAGCAATACATAAGCGAAAAAGACGATTGATATCATTGTCTCCGATGTTTCAATGACCAACTGTGTGAGAATACAACGTAAGAAAAGTGCGAACTCCCTTCCGCTTGGTTCTCGGGGATATATACTTTCCGTATTAGCCATACAAATGTCCAATATCCCAAATTCCCTCTCGTATATTAGGTTCGAGTCCATATTAGCTTTGCAAAACTTATGGTGAAAATGGTAGATTCGTTTTGCGACGTAGCTGATTAGAATTAACAGCAAGAAGCTCCTTAATAGATAAGAGCCTAATATAAAAACGGTGAGAGGAGGTATTGTTTCTGTCTTTTAAAATTTTTTTGTTTTGAGCTCGAGAACCCAGCATTCACGTTGAGATTCCAAGAGGTGGTGGTGATGGTGCCAACAGCATGATTTCTAAATATGGACTCGATGTTATAAACTCTATATGCTTTGGCAAAACACACAATTCACAACACTTTATTATTATGATTATTATTATACACCTTTGTGAATACCAAATAAACGTGTATTGGGAAGACGTGTCAGGTGTCTTTGATAGTTAGTCACTGTGATAGCCAATTATATTCAATCTTTTCACAGCTTAACCTGTATTAGCATGTATCAGGTATGCAAGCATCCTTGGTTTATTAAAACCTACTGCTCTGCTCAACCGATGGAGGACAGCACACTCACAACCCTTGTCAATACACTTGGCGTCTTCATATTCATGCTGATATTTGCTTACCATTTCGTGGTGGTCAACGGAGAACAAGATCGCAATGCTACCTCGTAAGAAATCGAGCACGACTTGGACTTAGCGTCGGCATCATTCAGACTGTCAGAGGTGCGTTAGTTTGATCCGGGCATAGATAAAAAGACAGTAGAAAGCGAGACTTCGAGTAGCTTAAAATAGTCTGTATTACATATAATGTTGCTCTCAATTTATACGTGTGCTTGTTTGCCAGTTTCATGACATGTTGACTTACAATTTCACATTTAACTTATTACCAACAAATTTCTTAGGCTCTAAAACACATTCAGGATATGGCAATAGATCGGGTTGTCGCAACCAGGAGGCCCCATCAACAACAAGTATATGTCCTGAAAAAAAATAATAAATACTGTTATGCCTAGTTTCTTCTGTAAATTATAAACTCTATTATATATATACCTGAGATGTTTCTGGCAGCATCTGATGTTAGGAATACAGTAGCGTATTCGATATCTTGGATCTTTCCAAGTGTTTGCAGAGGCGACCCTTGAATAAGCCGCTCAGTGTCAGCAGCTGGCAGAAGCCTATGCATACCTTCAGTATCAGCAATGGGTCCGGGAGCAATGACATTCACTCGAATTCCAAGTGGCCCCAATTCAACGGCAAGGCTCTGTAAAAAGACATACGTTAGTAATCAGTTAGATTTTCTGGCAAAAGTGATGGGCCGTAAAACATACCCTGCTTCTAATTTGATCAAACGATAACAAAAAGATAAGCATTGGTTTAGAAATAGAGTCTGTCACAATCATTGAAATAATGAATTTTGGGAACCTACAGGGCATCTATTCCAGCTTTAGCAGCTGCGACATGCGACTAACCACCAGAGTTTGGAGATGCTGATTAGTAAATGACCCATTGATCATATCAACATACATTGCATTTATGTTACCTGAAATAACATTGCTGGGTCAAAGCCATGGGAGCAAGGAGATAATAGTGATCAGATATATAGATCAATGTCACGAGACAATTACTTCGTAATTGATTAACACTACCTGAATAATGATGTGTGGCCGAAACATTTATGACGCATCCTCTACTTTTCTTTAGATGTGGAAAGCATGCCTTTGTGACATTGAAAGTGCCAAGGAGATCAATCTCGATAACCGTGCGAAACGCGCGATAAGACAGATTCTCGAAAGAGGCGAGGAAATTGCCAGCTATAGAGTATTGACATTAAATAAAAAACTAAATGAAGAAATGAAGAGTGAATTTTGATAGTTCACCAGCTCCATTGACAAGTATGTCAATCTTGCCAAACAGCTCAATGGCTTTTCCCACAGCTTTTTCGACCTGTTCGGGGTCACGAACGTCAGCTGCAGTCCCTCTGTAAGGTAAATTGGTATGTAGGCGTGAGAAGGCATGCATTGATCCAATATCCAATATTTTAATATCCAAAGAAATAACTTACGCAATCTGGCCACCTGTTTTGGTCTTTAATTCTTCAGCAGCTTTATCAAGCCTATCTTGACTATGTAGAAAGAATTAGTTGCATCGTATACTGCATTTCACAAACATGGCATATATAAATCGTTGCGGATCATATCAAATAAAATGGAGACCTTCTACCGATAATAAAAGCCTTTGCGCCGTGCCTTAGTAAAGCTTCGGTCATGCCTTTGCATATGCCGCTTCCCCCTATTGGCGAATTCAATAACAGTCAATTAATTCAATCGAAGAAGAAATGATATATCATAGCATACGGTCATACCCCCAGTGACGAATGCAATCTTTCCAATTAGTAGGTCTTTCTTGAATACGTCCGTTGTAGGCATATTTAATATCGATAATAGCAATAATGTTTTCTCACGTTTAGGTCAGCGAAATGTTGACCACGCAGAGGCAGTAGCCCCATAAAAAGTAGTGTGACAAATTTCACTGGATTTGCAATATTAATATTAATTAAGTAATGTAATTCTTCATTTTGGAAGTTTACATGTTCTGCCAACACTTCATATGATTACTATTACGTCAATACATGGCTAAAGTTATTGTAGAACATCTTGCACATGCTCTCTTGACCTAGCTCGATTGCACAACGAGTTCATGCTAAAAGCAGGCTACTACTCTTTTAAGAGCTAATTTGCACAACAGGCGAACTACAGCAAGGATACGAAATTGCGTATAAAGAAAACTATAAGAAGAGACGGAACTTGCTCCGTAATTTGTAATAAGTCAAGGCAGTGGTTTCAGAAGGTCTTAGAATCCTAATATGATAGTGATACTATCTCTATGAAACACGTGCTTCCGTATACGGTTTACATGATTCTTGAATATCAATTGCTATTTCTGTATGTAAATGTTACAAATGGAGCGAATACAGTCTTTCTTTGATGGTTCTAACAAGTTACGCAACAAAATTATATCAGAACAAGGTCTTCCTGATTTTTGTCTAATCTTTGGTTTTCCTCTTTCTGAATGATATATAATATTTTTCTTCAGCTATATGCAGAGCATCTATCAGATATTCCAGGGTAATTTTTGTTATTCCTTTGTGTGCCGTCGAATGCATTAATTCACTTGACAGAGTTTTCATAGCCTCCCTAAATTCGTACACCTTTTTTTGTAATCTCGGAATATCATAATTCATTTCACTTACTGCCCCAATCATCGCATCGATTAATGGCAGAATCTCATTTAACTCGCTTCGTCTCAATTGACGTTCTACTGCATCGCCGAATAGGAATTGCAGAAAATTTTGATTGCGTTCAAGCGCACCCTCAAGAGAGCGTTTACTCTCGTATTGGCCATTGTGGAGCCGCTTGAGTGTCCATGTCTGCTTATTAGAAACGGTTTTGAGTCTAAGTCCCGCATCTTTTATTTGTTCATTCAGCTGTTCCGTCTGCCGTAAAACGCTCGTGATTCGAGCTCTAATATCCTCGATGGCTTCCTGGTCCAGATTCTTTTTTGAATTGTTGATTATATGAATGATCTCACGTAATTGCCAACGAAATAGCCGAAAAAGAGCTTTTCCACCATCGCCGACGGCTATAATTGATGTTACGGCATCGGATGCAACATCTGCCAGTTCTAATAAACTTTCGGCAATCTCTGAACTGCCCTTAAATACCGGCTTACCGATCCTCGGGGCAATGTCACGATATTTACCGAGCGTTTCTAGCAATGACTCGGACACTGAATAACAGTTATCGGTTCATCATGCAGTATATGTTTGCACAATAGCAATGATGGAGAAATACAGCATGAACGCAGAAGCTTATAAAGCAGAGTGCGGGGTAATTTCTCGCCGGGAATTTTACAGAAAACATGAAAAGTCTACCTATAAATTCGGTACGTCCGATTTCATCAAATACATCGCCGACGGTATCTGTAAAATATTTCGCCGACCCTGAAGCATCTGAATCCTAAATGTCACAGGGATTTTAGTAATTTACATAGGCGAGTCGAGTCTGCCATTGTTAAGACAAAGCCATTACCGATTGCAACAATAACGCCAATAGCGCCGCCAACACTATGACGGCACAAGAACTGATAAAAATATTCATGCCTCTTGACTTATTCACACCGCCGTTACTTCTATCGTTCGCGGTAAGGTTGGCTGTGGCTTAACAAACTGCAGTGTCAGTATGTAGAGGACATGGCCCAACAACATTCTAATAGTTTCCCATACCAAATTTCATTTTCATCTCGTCATTTTCTTATTGATTATTGCTTGTTAGGATGCTGTTGATATCTCTAGCATGATAAACAACTATCAACAAAAAGTACCTGTATATTCCTCCTGTATAACTGTCATTTTTTTGTTCGAAGTTCAAACTGTTGATGGATATTTTAAAATACGTCCTCTTATGTTACACAAATATGAATCAGATGACTGTTAAGCTCGATTTGGCTAAGCTTAACTATATCTCGCAACGTGACAACGTTCGTGGAGATGATGCGTGTGTTTACAACATACTGTCCTTGATAAAGTGCCAAATGTAGTGATAATTACTATCTAGTCGAAAAAATGTTTTAAAACGTTAATTAAAGTTTCACAGAAGTCAAATCTGCGTACTTCATGTGATTGGTAACGACGATCAGTTAAAGGAGGGGCGACAGACTTGTAAGACAATGGTCTTAATTCGAGACAAACGCTTTTGAAAATTTTTCACCGACAAAACTACCGAAAAAGGGTAACTTTGAAATAATGTTGAGGTGAAAGGATTGTCGGCGAAATGAATGCCCTCCCGTTTGTGACATGTCGGTTTTGTCATCACTATACCAAATACAGAATATGTATATCCGAGCCTGGTTTTTTTTTTACTTAACGAACTGTCTTTATTAATCACATTTTTCTTCATTAGTGGTGAAATTTCTTTGCAAGGAAAAGCAAGAGTCATGGCAGACAGTGTTGGATACCTTAATAATGTTTCAAACTATCAAATCGTTTGTATGGAGGGAGCAAACCGGGGGGCAAGAATAAGAGAGAAAAAATGCCGACGATGATAATAAGAACATTAAAAGTATGATACAACTGTTTAACGTTAATAATATAATTGTATCAGAGGCTTCAGAACGAAGGCAGACATGCACAGGCCTTTGAGTATATGCTACTGCTTATTAAACTGAACTCTTCTTTATATGCTTGACTTTCGTTGTATGTAAGATGTGAAATTTTATAGTAATGTCATAAATAACCGATGAATCTACTAATTTAATTTTACTCGATCATCAAAAACATATCATTAAGGTAAACCGTTTTAACATTGGATAGACATGCCTAACTTCGTTTTTATGTATGAAGCTCTCATGAAGTTGCAGTAGTAATGATTAGATAATTGTTATACAGCTGTGTCATACAAGAATTACCAAAACTTACGCGTCTAACATAACTTGTTTGTACTAGCATACAGTATGTATATATTAATAAATAATTCATACTGAGAATTATTTACTTAAAACACGTTATCTGACCAATGAAATTCTTGTGTCCATAGAGTATAAGTACTTTTGAAGACCCTAGTCACCTTTGTAACACGAGAGCCATAATAATACTGTAATCTCTTCATACTAACAATCAAGAATTATCCGACGGGGTTCCCCATATAAATGCATAGGAAGAAATTCCGCTAGTAAAGAATCGTTCCTTTACTAGCGGCGATTAAATATGTTTATATGCGCCTTCAGTTGCCCGCCTTTTACGAAACTGCATCAGATGATATACATTTCTTATTTCATACACTTTCCTTATTACAGCTTAAAAATGAGAAGGCCGACAGAGATTTTTGGCTATACACCGAAAACTCTCCAAAGTTAGAAGTAATACGAGAGCGTCAGGTATACTTGAGCCTTTTCGTAAGCAATTTTGTCTGACAACCTGACAATCCTATATTTTCGCTTAAATAGATCAAATTAAACGGAAAATCGATCTATGCTCACTCGATATGTATGACAGGTCAACCGATCAATAAGCGGCTGAAGTTCTGGATCTTTACCTATCTCAAAAAAGTTATGTTATGATAGCGAATCTGGCGAAGGCGAAATCGTCGAAGAAAATGAAAATTTAGATACGGGTTGTCCTGGATTAATCCTTATGTGGAACCTAACAGAAGCCATAACCTAATAAAACTCAGACGAAGATGTTAAGGTCTAGAAAGTTCCATATACTAATACGTCATTGATTAAACTACATATTAATAATATTATTATTACGCGTTCGTAAAAGTCACTACGTCAAACGTCATGGACACCACCCAAATGCAAAGCGAGTTGGATCGAGCTAACAAGAAACTGGACAGGTTAGAGGCGCTGAGGGAGGGTGCTGTGGAAAAGTATACAGGGGAGAGAGAGAAGCTGGAACAATAGGAGAATTTTTTAAAAGAAAGAATGACGTCTCTTGTCGTATTGCTTGCAGCAAGCGCTCAACCAGGTAACGACTTTGTGACTCGGGCGTTGGGGACATAGAGTAATGTGTACATAAAAGCATAGTACGGTATGAGTTTTTTTGTATTATGAACGAGAGTGAACGCATATGACTTGATAACCACCTTTCCTTCGCCGGCATTTGTTTCTAGCTTCTGTGGAGAATCTTTCAAATCTTTTTGGTTAAATAGTATCTATTTATGTAAAGTATTGCAGTGATTTCTCTAGAACATTTCAGGTAGCTCTGGTAGTGTGAGTACATTTCCTCTTTCAATGTTTATAAAGACGGTGGTTGATAACTCGGAAATTACGAGAAAAACTCAGAAGTAATGGTTGTCTGGTTTTGTTGCAGCATGCCCCAAATTATATCTACATTACGTGAAACGTCGTTGACATCCGGATTGCGAGCAAAAGCTGGAGCAAAATGAGTGTGAAGTGAACCAAAAGACTCAGCCACGTTTGTTAGGCATATGACTTAAGCGAAATGCTATCAATACAATTTTTATAGGAAGACGTATTCAGATGAATCGTATGCCCGTCAGAACCCACAATGAGACATTGCATTGCCTTCAACATATGTAAAGTTACGCGCGTACCGGTAGCATTCCTGTATCATATGTTTGCTGCTTACTATTACTCTTCATCGAAAAGGATTTCTTTATACGGTAGAAAGCTTACAAGAGAGAAATGTTGTAAATTTGGTGTTCAAAATTTCAGACAGAAATCAATTGCTAAGAGAGATATCCAAATGTTAAATTCAAAGGGTAGTTACCCGTTGACTGTATTACAAGCCAAAACCAATTTAGAATAGATTCATTTTTAGTTCGAGTTATTCTTCCTTCATATGTTGGCGTTTTTATTTGACAATTTACTGTATTATTCACTATATCGAATATTACGTGACTTTGTCTAAACTTTGTTACAAAGTGTCTCGTTTTACCAAATTTCTCATTATAACACAATTTGTCACGGAAGAAACATGATTTTCAGTGATACCATTGGGACAGCAATCCGCAGAAAATTCTTTTTACATATTTTTTACCGATACCAAAAGACAGTTCGATCCGTTAAAAAGGTGCGGATTGCTGTCCCAACAATTTTTTATCTTCATTGTATTATCTCTATCAAATATTACTATCCTTTTTTTTAATAACAGAAAACGAAAAATAGATATATTAATCGCAATTGCCGTCTCTTTTTCAGATAACCTTGCAAAAAAATTAAAACTCGAATATGTACAGTATGGATACAGAGCTTTATTTAAGGCTTTGACTGCAAAATTCTTGTCATTTATATCGCAGATGGCAAGAAGTAATCGGTATAGAAGTCGAAGCCATAATTTTCGATGATGCAAGCGAAGCTTTGACTGGAATAGGAATGCTTTTGCATCTCAAGCTTCTGCCACGCATAGAAAAAAGAGATATGCTGGTATCCAAAATAGCGAATTAATAATTGGTATGAAATTCAACAAACGTCCGTCTTAACTTATTCGGTCGTTTATCTTTATTATCATGCAAGTTTACTTTTTCTAAGTAGAGCATAGGCAGGGATATATTGCATAGCCGGATCTGTCTGTCTGAAAAATTTTGATCACATTCGTATGCGCGCAAAGGGCAACTTTGGCAAATAACGGCGGAAACGCGAAATAATCGTCATCCTAGCTCGACAGTTGACCAACCATACCAGCACAAACGCGATTGCAAATGCAACTGGCCAAATGACGAAATTTTAATATAATTAGATCAACCCTAGTATCATATAGGATACAAATTTAAGCATAGCGGTATTTAGTATCGGTATTGGTAAACTACCAAAATTTGTCAATCACGTGACTTTAGAATTCAACGTCACGGGACCGTAATAATGGCGTTTGGGCACCTGACTTTCTGGGAATAATTCATGGTTATTCTTGTCACTGAACGATTCACATCGATTTTACAATGTCTGACGAACAAATTGTCTTTAATGTAGGAGGAATAAAGGTAAATTATAATGATTCGCATAAGCTTTCATTTCTCCACCTGCTAATCTATTTGATCTAGTACGAAACAGCACTATCAACAATTCTTGCTTATCCGGATACTCTTCTCGGTCGGATGATTCAAAAACGTGCCGATGAACTTTCTCACTCAACACATAGCAACGAATATTTCATCGATCGCGATGGACATGCGTTCCGCTATATCTTGCAATATTATAGGACAGGGAAAATAATATATCCAGACAGGCATCAATCTTTCGGTGTATCGGAAAAAGAGTTACTAATCGAATTTGACTATTTCCAAATTCCCGTTCCTCGCCCCGAAGACGTCAAAGACTATGACGAAACACAGCTTTCACGCGAATCGGATCATGCTGATAATCAATATGCGATGGCATCAGACCAGTTCTCCCTAGAAGGTGATTTCGATGCAGAGATTACCGTGCGGAGAGACAATTGTTATCCTCACGATCACTTACCGAAATACCGAAAACCGTCTTCAGATGAAAGAGAACCTTGTAACGATATAAATGAAGAGCAACATGTACAGGAATCTAAGCATGATAATAGTCTTGTTGCCGATAACCTGCCAACAAGTCCAAAGGGGGGTAGTGAGGTATCTAATTACCCTACTATCGTCTCTAAGATATGTTCATATGCGGATAATATATCTGCTAACCCTGTCGAGAACACTGTTATAAGTCTACAACGCCCTATTATTTTGATGATTGTTTATGTGATGATAACACTATTATTATACAAGGTACCAGTAATTGGCTATTTAACTTTGGGGCGCAACTATGTATATCCAAAGTACGATACAATTTTTGAAAATTTGGAAACCATTAGTACGATGTTGGTAGAGAGTTTGGATAAAATAGAAGCTCCAGGTATGTGTTCGTCTTTCCTTTACGTCAAGTTTTAATTTTTTATTCTTATTTGATATTATTTTATTTCAAGGATCTTTCATTATTGACGAACAAACACCAAGACTGCTTTTTGTTGCTAACGCAATAGAAAGAAATAAACACAAGCTAGAGAATGCGCGAGAGTATTCTAGATACTTGAGAAATCTCGCCAAGTCTAATGAGAAAATAGGAAAGACTATTGAAGTTCTCTACAATAGTGGAGAGGAGGATGTTGAATACTTTAAAAAAGAACTCGGCGCAATTGCTTCTAACTTTCTCGTCCGTAAATCACTCCGGGGAGAGGATATTGAGCGAATTGTAATTAAATATAATAATTTGATCGATCAGACGAATTCTATCGTCAACCGCTTAAAGGATGCTGGGAAATCGATTAACGATTTATCGGAACTCCGTAACGAACCGAACCAAGAAATAGACAAAGTTTTAGCTTACATCAGAGAGCTTGGAGACGATCGGAGTGAGTACGTGCTTGCTGAACTTAGCAGACCGTTAGAGCAATACAAGGCAATCATAAATCACCTGATAAAATCCAACAAACAAATTGAAAGAACACTTCAAACCGTGGAGAAGCTGGGAGCATTGTTAACAGAGGATAAAGAGAAATTGTCGACACTTGTAGATAGGAGTACCATTGAACTCGGACAAGATAAAGTCGCTTATGTCAATAGAGCAGCAGCACTCATCGGAGAGAGAGCTGGACGATTCATGAAGAAGGATAAAAATAGGTTTCCCATAATAACTTGAAGTTCAATCTGCGAAAACAGCTATCAAAAAAACATTTATTATTGAAATAAATAGTCACGTTCTGCGTTATTCGTATCCTCAGTTTTTAAACAGATGTCGCGGATTGTTTTTCAGCGCTATTTAAAGTATCGATCAAAAACTCCAACATAGCCCTTGAGGGCTTGTTCTGTTTGGTCGATTCCTTTAGATCGGCTATCAATAGGTTTATCTTATGTCCAAATATGTTTAGGTTTGCCGAAAGTCTTGCAACATGGCTATCCATATTGTTTATAGCCTTTATTGTATTACCGATTTGTAAGAGCGCCTCATTTACCTGACCTTGCCTCAGTTCGCGTGTTGCTGCTCTGCCAGTTAATATGTCAATTATCCACAGAAGCCAGTTATCGAAGCGAGCGCGATCATGCGCAAGAACAGCACTACCCTCACTTTGACCATGGCGAAGAGATGCTAGCGTCCGTTCTTTCAAAAGGGTGATTCGGTTCACTTGTATTCTAGCATCCTTTATAAGCATTCCCACGTCTTTTGCTAAAATTGAAATGCTCTCCAGCCGATTTTTAATATCTTCGACGGTTTCCTTGTCTGGATCGCCTTTGAGATTATCGAAAATATTGGCGATTTCGTGAATCTGCCATTTAAACCTTCGAAATAAAGCATCTCCAGAATCCTTCATTATTAGAAAAGACACTACTCCATCGCTCACGGCATTCGCTAGATCTATTAGGTTTTCCTCTATCGCTGGGCCATATACTTTGAGATGACCATTGTTTATCTTAATGGCAAGCTGTTGACAATTGAGGAGTGGCTCAAGCGATGCCCAGGAATCTGTATCAAATATATAAGCATTGATAAACACGTAGCGGACAGGAACTTTTATATCTTGAACCTGATAACAAATTTAAATAAAAAACGCACTTGCAATCGCGAATACTTGACCCGTAGTGTCTGCAAAGTGTTCTGAATTTTTGCCCTAAATGATTGTAAGGTATCACAGTGTGTTATATATTTCTTACTGGGACTATTTCATGTTTGACCTCTTCTTACCGTCACGATTACTATTTGTAGCGCCAAGACGATTATAAGAGCCAATACGCTTGATGTTGCAAGGAATGTATGCTTCATTTTGCCTAAATCCTTTTGAGTCGTCAAATTAGTAAATGGCTCTTGAATTCGCCCAAACAGCACGTAATTTGATAAGCTTACCAAGACTTGATGTAGTCAAGTCTCCTTGCGTTGTCTTTTAGAATTGTCTGAGAAAGTAAGCCATATTCATCATGTGTCCGTGGGTAATGGTTCTTCACGGCAAATTCTGGTAAAGCGAACATGTAATAATAACGGTTGTATTGGTCCTCAATACTGTTCGCGTGACCCTGACCCTTTATATGCTTACTGTTAGAGTTTTGAACGCAGTACATACTATTCCCAATACTCATTGCACCAAGTAATGTATTTGGACTTCCTTGCGGCAACAAACGTTCTGTACGATTAATATCTAATACTCATTGAGATTTAATTTGATTAATACGTTGCTTACAAGTTCTTACAAACAAAACTAAACCGTTTCCCTTACAAGAATTTCGCTTAAGCAGTAATTTTCCAACTCTTTAACTTTCTGACAGCAAATTCAGCTGATTTAAGTATTTTTTTGCATCATTGGATAGAAAAATAGGTCATCCATGGTTTATATTCTGCGATGAATTTCAAATTTGGAGTGCTTTCTACAATATTCTAGATACACTACGGCAAAGTCGAAGTCCACTAGAACACATCACGCAACATCAGTGACTTCAAAGTTTGTGTGTAATCACATTCTATCGCTCTGACAAGTTCTACCTCGAGCCATAGATATCACGATTTCAATTTTTGATGATCCGTAAATGTCAAGTGGATTGCGTTGTTTATTATACATTAAAAATGCTACATTAAATGCAAACACGCACATTCTGAAATACAGTTTTTAATAAACTCGGAAATGTAATCAATAAAATTGTTTCCGTTATCGTTGATATGTTCAGATTATGCACGTATTCATTCTTCACTACTCCTTTCGATGAGGTAAAAGTGCTGACAGGATATATGCAGTTGATAAGAACCTGTAAATACCTGTTACAATTATTTCTGAACACTGATGTTGGGAGGGAAGGGGGACGAGGGAGTTTCTTCTAAGCGAACGTCATAGTCGATTACCGCATGTGGCGCCTTACGACAATATAACCTTAAACCCCAGATCATCGATAAGGTTGTTACGCTGCAGATTGGCGTATATATTATTGAATTCACATATTGTAAGTATTGACAGGTACGCAGCACTCGAACGCTTTACGTTTACACACGTTTTGGTGTACAAGTGACGATGAATCATGATACATTATGGCGTTTATGGATGTCCGTATTGATTATTGGACTGCAATGATGTAATTATCTATCTCTATCATGAATTACTAGCCATATCACCTTCTACAACGCATTCTGATGTCATCGGGCTGATCGGAAATACATAGTGTAACAATGTGCTAATAAACCGAATGGTGATATTGTTTTTTAAACTATAAATACATTACCTTCTCTCTCGCTATTCAACTTGCCATCCGTAAGAAACCACGGTTATCTGAACGAACCATAAGCGAATCTGCGTGATTCACTAAGCGAATAATCACACCTATTAGACTATTAAATAAGAACCAAGCGCGTCACCATACTTCAATAAAATCATAAACTATGAAATATACAAACGCAGTTACCGTTTCATCTCGACCCGCCACGCTGCCAAGACGCAAGGATGCTCCTAGCTTCTTCGCAAAGCGAATTTCCCAAGTATTTGATAAGCGAATCGAAATATATGAGGACAACGACGAATTCTCAGATGAGAAATATCGATCATTCAAACGTTCAGGCTACAGATTATTCAAACGTCTAAAAGGGTCGACAAGTCACAGCAGACGATATTGAGAATGGAGGATGCGAGCGAACAATACGGACATTTCATCGAAATTACCTGTCACACAATGTACAGCCAAATATTAATATTCAAGCCCCGGCAGGGTTAAAAGGGATGTTCATGTATTCTTGCCAAATTTAGTTAGAGCTTGATTCGGCATACAACATCATCTGACTACAATTCTGTAAATTGTGTGTAAAAGAAAATGAAAAAAAAAAGAAGGGACAAAAATAGTATGAGCAGAAAATGTCATGGGGTTTTTAAAAAAAAGAGTGAAGGAGTGAAGGGGTAATAAGACGCAAAAAAAAAGTTTGTATGTTTAAGGAAAACTTTTAAGTAGCGCCTTCGTTAATAATCAATTAATAAAGAACTCGATTTGTCTATGACAATTGTTCGAGTTTATTCTAGTTTATTTCAAAAATGGATTTGCCCAACCAAATTCGTTCATGCGAACGTAATGAGCATATGTGTACCAAACGATTGCTTGATGTCTATCAAAACATATGAACTCGATATTTTTCAACGTCTTTTTTCACCCACTTTTGTAGACGGCTGTCAATAAGATTTACATTGGAAGCAAGTTGATTGTAGTTTATAAAAAAGACATGAAACGTTTATTCATAGTTTAGTTATTACTATGAAGTTGCAATGTAACGTTCACTCGATTGCCGATCATTAATCAACATTTACAATCGCAGTATTAAACCTTCGCGTTCGCCGCATCGCATGCTTTGTCTTGTCAGAATTTGAAGAGGGCTGTATAATTAATGGTTGTAAACTTATCATTCTTTTGCTAAAATTGCGGAAAGTGGAATTATGTTGAGGCTCTTGGACGAGCGTAGCGTTCGGCAGTTAAAACGAGTGGTAGCGGCATTACGGTATACATTAACCATAGTAATGTGCAATTCAATCAGTTACCGCACAACTTTTACTTCACGCTGAAGGATATTACGAATGTGTAGCCAAGAAAACTCTTTGGTTACTGAAGTTAATAAAAAAATCGAAATTTGCAAAAAAAAAACACGGAACATTACTAATGAAATGAGGTAATATGGGGCAGACTGCAACAAAACCAGACAAAGTGAACATTCTTGAATAAGAGGCTGGTGTGGCTGAAAGTTAACTAACTTGACTGATGACGTTTTGAAAAGTAATAATTTGCATTCATTCATAATTTATAGACTTGTTGATTTTAATGCTCCCTTTACATACCAGAAGGTGAGGAATATAAACCATAACAGGATCAATATAGGATTACCTCTGTATATAAAAAGGGTCCGTATCATTTCACCGACGTAAGACAATCATTTCGTCGACAATCATTTCACCGACAATCATTTCACCAACATTATTTCGAAATTATCCTTTTTTGGTAGTGTTGTCGGCGAAATGATTGTCGGCGAAATGATTTTCGG